TGCAAGACAATAAAGTCGGCAGAATATTCCCTGCCTTCATACTTGAATTTCACATTTTCACAAATATACCTTTCATTAAAAACACTTCCCACAGCCGTAATAATGTGCATAGGAGTTTTCATTTTTATCACATGCAGACCAAATGCTCCGGCTACATAATCAGCAATAAAAGAATGTGTGGCACCAGAATCAAATAAGACATTAAGCATTTCATCATGAATAGAAATCATACCTCGTACCAAACTAGCTGATCTCTCAGCCTCTTGCTGAGTCACTGCATATACTCGGGAAACTGGAGATGGGAGAGGTAGAGATGGTTCCTCAACCACAATAGGAGCCGGAGTGGCCTGAATAGTAGAAACCTGTCCCCCATTAAAGGGGCAGTCCCTAATAAAATGCCCATGTTGGCCACACTTATGACACAGTCTCTGTTCTCTCCTGCAAACCCCAGAATGGGCTTTTCCACATATAGATCATTGAGGAGCAGATTTAAAATTTCCAGGCTTAGAATTTCTCGCCTTTTTGAACTTACCATCAGACTGTCTAACCTGCAACCCTTTTCCTTTAGAATTCCCAGAAGTGTTTTTAGGACCAGAATTAGGAGCAGATTGGTCCTTACGCTTCCTTCTATAGTACTCTTGAATGTTTTTACACTTTTTAACGAGTGCAGCAAAAGTATCAAAAGCGTGTCCTGCAAGTTTTTCAGAAATGTTATCATGTAGTCCCCTATGAAATTTAAACACCAGATCATCCTCAGTAGGTGGAGCTCTCTGGAAATGAGAGTATTTGGCCAACTTATTAAACTTATTCCGATATTCATCAATAGACATCTGGCCGTGCTTTAGTTCTTCAAATTCACCCTTCTTCCTTATCCGGGCTTCAGCCAGAAAGTATTTTAGCAAGAATTGCCTTTCAAATAAAGGCCAGGTAATAGCATGACCCTGACATTCCAAGGGCTGACGAGTATTTCTCCACCAATCGGCTGCATCATTTTGCAACATATAAGAAGCATACAACAATCTCTGCTGATCATGACACTCCATGACAGTAAAAATGCGATCCAACTCCTTTAACCACTGAATTGCAGCAATCGGATCAATGCCTCCTTTGTAATTTGGTGGTGCATGTTTTCGGAAGGCATTAAGCATTCTTTCTCTTTGCTCTCTATTAGTGGCTGGATGTGCCACACCACCCCTGTGACTAGATTCTTCATTCATATCATTATTTCCTTCACCCTCCACAACAATGGGATTATGAGGAGGAGGAACATGAGTCCTTCTTGGACGAACCATAATTCTGCACATTTTACACAAAGGAATGAGTTAGCTACGCTCACACTCAGTGATCAGACATGCATATCATAGGACTCCAAGAGAAACTCAAGAAGATCATAACCCGAACAGTTTATGCATTATTTCACAGGCTCTCCTAGAGAAACTGCTCTGATACCATAAATGTAACATCCCCGTCTCGAGCCGGTTCAATTAACATACACATGATATAAACAGAAACAGCGGAAGACTTAACTTACAAAAATATGAGCTAACTTTTTCTTTTTCTAACTTTATTCTTACTCGGCGTAAACGAAAATCGGGCAGAGTTTCCTCTATAAATCGGACAACTGTGGATTTTCCAATCCCACTCAGAAGCATTTCCTGATAAACAGTTTATACAACATATCAATTCAGAAATACCAGGTATCCAAATATAATCAAATACCCATACATGGGCGCATGCATAACATGGCTCCGTGCCACTATATCTAACAGCATGCCATCAAAACGTAAACCTATCTGAATACTACATCATCATATAACGTGCTTGAATACTCAAATGTACATGCATCAAACTGTCAGACATGTACAAAACATATACAGGCCACATACAAAAAGATAGGATCTAACATCATGATCCACAAAATACGGAAATACTAAATGAAGGTACTATACTTCAAAATAAAAGTAATCTACAGCTACTCAAAATCCAATCCGTCCACTGCCTCAGCCACGTGTCTCGTCCCTGCCTAGTGAGGACTCACCGGGAATCTGGGCACATGAAAATATGTCCCCAACGAGGGGTGAGATTACAAATCTCAATAAGCTCCAGGTTTATAGAGAATTCTCCATACCCCTGGCTCACTCCTGCACAAAAGTCAGATACAGAGTATACAATGCACATATAATAGATATCTTTACTGAACAGAGCATATAACATATATTACAGAGGCGTACATAGTCAATCCCAAGGGAGGACCCTAAGCGGAAATCAACGCACGTGTTCCCGAGGGAGGACCCCAAAGCGGAACCAGACATATCAGAGGCGTACACCATCAGTCCCGAGGGAGGACTCCAAAGCGGACATCCGGGTACTATACAATCAATGGCTAGAGATTGTTACAGAAATCATATTACAGAAGTCATATCAGAGCAAAACATATCATGTTATCAAATAACTCTATATGAATGCATCTATACAAAGCATCTAAATAACAGTCATACAGTCCAACCATAGTTCACTAACCATGGTGGAGCACTCAAGCAGGAAAAGACTCCTTAAACATAGAGCTTACCTCTTGAAGCTTTACCAATATGCTTACTTGTTGCACAAGTTACTTATATGTCTTCACGAGATTCCGATCCTTTTTAGTCCCTAGGTACACCTAGAGCAAGAATCCACAAATACAAAATCAATAAAATGCTATCATGCCTAGATTTTCCATAAGGCATACATTTTATCGCTTATCTTCCTTTCTTTATATTTTTGCCAATTCTATGCCAATACACAAGTCTAGACCTCTTTATAACCGTTGGTGTTCTTTAATTTAATCCAACATTCCCTTAGGAATTTTCAACATAACTCATGCTATTTTTCTTCAAAACTCAATACTTTTATACAATTTATTACAACACATTTCATTTAAAATAAAATGTACAAAATATATCTCTAAATACCCTATAGGTCGAATCCCATAAGGGGAATTTCCAAAGATCCTTCTCTTTTACAATACATTTTCTTTACTTCCTTACAACTTGCAAACACCTAGGCATGCATCCACTAGGTTCCTATTTTGAGTTTAGACACCAAGTCCTTTTTGCTTAGGCATTCTTACTAACTCATCCATTTTCGCTCATTTCCAATACATTACACCTTCACAAAACATAATATAATTTTTTGCACAATAACCGCTACTCACTCCATGAAGGCCGAGTGCTCAAAGGTCCACCCCATTGATTTATTTTTCAATTTTTATACATATATAAAAGCTTAGTTAGCATGCCTATATCCTAAAACATCCATGATACTTCATAGAATTTCCAATTTTAGCTAATTTGTTTCCACCCATTCATAGTCATAATTTTCAAACCATAAACCACAAGAACAACATCATAGGGTTAGAGTTTAATTACCTCTAATCACTTATTCAAGACCTAGAAGACCTTCACCAAGAGAATCTCCATCAAAAGCATCATTTTGCCTCCTTGATGAATAGTGCACGAAAAGGGGAAGGAAATATCTCCTCACACAACCAATGATAGATCAAATAAATGGGTGGGATAGACTCATTGGGTGGTTTCCCATCAATTTCAAGTAGTGGGACTTGTGATTTGGTGAACTTTTGATTGAGAATCAAAGAAATGAAGAACCAATCCCTACCCCCCCCTTTTCACCAAGTGCAGCTCGGTTTTTTTGAGGAAGAGAGGAGAGAGAGCTGATTTTGAGTAGTGCTCATTTGAGTCACTTAAGCTTTTAAGCACATGTGGCCCTTTTACTCGGTTGTTTTTCTATCGCGTATTTTTACTTAATTGACCCGTAACTTAACTTAAAGTTACGGATATATTTTTATTTTTCTAAACTCATTTACATTAATTTTTATTTCCTAAGGAACAATATTCTTAATTACAGTACCGTTTCTGCACTGTTTTTGACAAAATGCACCGTGAACCACTAACTGTACTTTATTTATTTTTGAAACTTAAGACTTATACACTTGTCATTTTCTTGGGCCTATATTGACTTGCTTGGCATATATTGGACTTTCTTATTCTTATTTCATCAATTATTTGTTTCTGGACTCTACCGGTTGCTTAAACAGCAGTACAAAATACCCGGTAGAAACACTATTCAATCAATTTTCACGGAAAGTGCCAGACTATACAATTTTTCGTTCTGAACTCATATTTGTCGTCAGAATTGTCAAATTATGTCTCTAAAATCATTTCTCTCTTTTAAGCTCTATCGGTTAATTCACAAAACTGTAAATTCTCCGGCAGAACGCACTGTTCATAACATAGTCATGATTACAGTCAAAATACTCGGAACCACTCACTGAATCTAATTATGGCATTTAAATCCTTAAATTAAATCGCTAATTAAGATTTACCATTTAGGGTCATTATAGCATGGGATTTTTCCAGTTTAACCAGTAATCTCAATTTCGAATCCTATGTACACAGCTATGTTAAAAAGTTGGTCAGTTGATGATTCTGTAGTAAAGAAATCTCCAACTTTTTTTTTTTCTTCATAAAAGAGATTGTTTAATATACTTGTATAATTAAGCTTCAATTCCTTTGGTCAATGCTTGTTTAGAAGCCTTGCAATCTTACAATTACATGAATCTAGAACCTCTCCCCCTCTATGACTTCCTGAACTAATATTAATGTATAGAGTAGACAAAACATCACTATCTTGTGTATGTCATTACCAATGTTTGACAATAAAATTCAAGCAACGAATATGCTTTGGCCTATAGACTTAGTACAAACAGCATTCAAGGTCCTAAATACTTGGATATTGCTGTTTTTAACCTTATTGCTTTGCTAGCGGATTAAATTATACACAATTGTTGACGTATGCTTGTAAGCAAATATGTTCACATACATTTTAACTATTCTTACATAATCCTCTGGACAGCAGATTAAGCTACAACTTTGTATTCAGAAAGTTTTTCAACAAGATTTTGTAATCCATTGTTTTTCCTCTTTTGCTTTTAAAGAGAAGTCATGACTGTAGGAGAAGCATTTTTGTCAGCTTTCATTCAGGTTTTGTTTGACAGGTTGGCCTCAAAGAATGTTGTAGATATTATTCTTGCACGAGACAATGACAAAGTCCTGAAGAAATTTCAGAAGACTTTGCTGCTCATTAAAGCAGTACTAAATGATGCAGAGGACAAGCAGGTTAAAAATGAGGCTGTGAGAATGTGGTTGGTCGAGCTTAAAGATGTGGTTTATGATGCAGAAGATGTTCTTGACGACTTTGCTACCGGAGTGCTGAGGAGGAGGTTGGAATCTGAATCTCAAACCACCTTTACTCAAATATGGAACCGTGTCCCAACTTCTCTCAATCCAAGTAATTTGATGTTTGATGTTGGGATAGAATCTAAGATAAAGGTGATCACGGAGAGGCTGAATAATCTTGCAAATGAAAGGCATGAACTTGGTTTAAGTGAGATTGCTGCTGGGTGTCCATTCAAATTCAAAGAAACATCTTCCATGGTGAATGAGTCCTACATCTGTGGGAGAGATATGGACAAAGAGAAGATTATCCGAGTGCTGATGGAGAATATGTCAAGCCATGGCGATGAAGAAATTATCTCGGTCATTCCCATTGTGGGAATGCCAGGTGTTGGGAAAACAACATTGGCTCAGGTTGTGTTTAATGATGACAAGGTGAATCTGCAGTTTGAACTCAAGGCATGGGTGTCTGTACCTGATGATTTTGATGTCAAGATCATAACAGGAAAGATTCTTGAGTCAGCCACTTCCAGAACCTGTGATCTCAATAGCTTGCAACAGCTTCAGGTTAACCTCAAAGCAGCCTTGAGAGGCAAGAAGTTTTTGGTTGTTCTGGATGATGTGTGGAATAAAAATTACAATGAATGGATTAAGCTGGTAGCTCCATTCAACGGAGGTGCTCCGGGAAGCGCAGTGATAGTAACAACAAGGAATGCACAAGTTGCTAAAATGGTGGGAACTGTTGAATCTCACTATGTCAACAAGTTATCTGAGAAGGACTGTTGGTCAGTATTTGTGCAGCATGCTTTTAGGAGTAAAACTATTGATGCAAATCAAGCCCTTGCAGAAATTGGTGAGAAGATTGCTCAGAAATGCAAAGGCTTACCGTTGGCGGCAACAACAATTGGAGGCATTTTATCCTCAAAGCATGATGAAGAGTGGGAGCATGTAATGAACTTTGAAATATGGGATCTTGCAGAGGAGGAAAGTGACATGCTCCAAGCATTAAGATTGAGTTATGATCAGCTTCCTTCACACCTAAAGCGATGTTTTGCATACTGCTCCATACTACCAAAAGGCTTTGAATTCGGGGAGAAAGAGCTAGTGTTGCTGTGGATGGCAGAAGGATTTTTGGAACAACAAGCACAGAAGCAAATGGAAGATGTGGGCCATGAGTACTTTCGAGATCTACTCTCTGCTTCACTTTTTCAAAGGTCAAGTAGCAACAGATCATTGTATGTAATGCATGACCTTATCAATGATCTAGCTCAGTGGGTTGCTGGAGAATCCTGTTTCAAATTGGACACTAATTTTCACTCACATGGACAAATAAAAAAGAGAATTTCCAAACGGGCTCGGCATGCATCTTACGTTGGTGGTGAATATGATGGTATTCAAATGTTTCATGCCTTCAAAGAAGCCAAGTCTTTAAGAACATTCCTCCCTCTAAAGCGTCAAAGGCTAGAAAAATGGTCCTACATAACTAATCAGGTTCCTTTTAAATTATTACCTGAGTTAAGATGCTTAAGAGCTTTGTCATTGAGAGGATATTTCATCAGTAAGCTTCCTGATTCAATTAGCAATTTGAAGCATCTACGCTACCTGAATCTTTCTTGCACTAGCATCAGAAAGTTGCCAGAATCAGTCTGCAGTCTGTGCAATCTACAAACATTATTACTGAAACACTGTTTCAATCTTGAGGAGCTTCCATCAAACATGGGTGATTTGATCAACCTACGCCATCTAGATATCACGGGAGCACATTCTTTAACAGGTATGCCCCATGGTATTGGTAAATTGACACATCTTCAAACATTGTCAAACTTTGTTTTAGGCAAAAGTGGGATCAGAGAATTGATGATGTTGTCAAATCTCCAAGGGATACTTTCTGTGTCCAGGTTAGAGCATGTGACCGACACTCGAGAAGCAGTTGAAGCTATGTTAAATAAGAAGGTAGGCATTGATGTGCTGAAATTGAAATGGAGCTGTTGTTTGAATGATGAGTCTCATATTCGAAGAGAAAATGATGTGCTTCAAATGCTACAACCTCACAAAACTCTTACAAAGCTTACTGTGAGGTGCTATGGTGGTATCAGCTTCCCAAAATGGATAGGAGATCCATCCTTCAAGAGTCTAGTGTTCTTAAAGTTGAGAGATTGTGCAAATTGTACAACTTTGCCAATACTTGGAAATCTCCATGCTCTCAGAGATCTTTACATCATTGGAATGAAAGAAGTATGCTGCATTGATGGTGGGTTCTATGGTGATGGTTGCTTAAGACCTTTCCCTTCCTTGGAGAGACTACATTTCATGGATATGGAAAATTGGGAAAATTGGTTCCCCTCTGGCAATAATGAGCAGAGTGACATATTTTCTTCTTTGCAGCAGCTTTTCATTGTGAAGTGTCCCAAACTTTTGGGAAAACTACCTGAAAATCTTCCTTCTCTCAAATATCTATTAGTTAAAGAATGTGAACGATTGATGGTTACCCTTTCAAACCTTCCTCTGCTCTGCAAACTGGAAGTTGAAGGATGCAAAGGCTTAGTTCTTAATTGCACAACTGAATTCATGTCATTGAACTCCATGGCTATTTCAAGCATCTCTGAGTTAACATCATTAAGGGAGGGGTTGGTACAAGGGTTCAAAAGAGTTGAAAAACTCAAAATTGTCAATTGTGCTCTTGATGAGATAGTTCTTGCTGATTGGTGGGGAAATGAAGTTTGGTCAGAGAAGCATCCACATGGTTTGTCATCCATGCTCAGATCAATTGAGATTAGAAATTTCAGTGTCATGAGATTTATCCCTAAAGCACTAATGTTCAACAGCCATTTTCTTGAACGCTTATGCATATGTAATTGTGATTCCCTAGTCTTTGTCACAACTGATCAACTGCCTCCCACTCTGAAATCATTGGAGATATCAAACTGTAAGAACTTGCAGTGTTTACTAGACAATGGAGAATGCTCTTCTTCAACAATAACTATGCAAGAGGACAATAACCAGAATAGTGGCACAAGCATTTCTCATCTGGAGTATATATACATTGGCTGGTGTCCATCTCTCACTTGCATATCAAGAAGTGGTGAGTTACCTGAGGCTGTCAAACTTTTGTTCATTTGGAATTGTTCAGAGCTAACATGCTTGTCAATGAAAGGCCAGTTACCTAAAAATCTTGAAAAACTGGAGATTCAATGCTGTCCAATGCTAGATTCAATCGCAAGCACTATGCATGGAAACACTTCCTTGGAATCTGTTCAGATATGGAACTGTGAAAACCTTAAATCCCTCCCTGATGGCTTGCATTGCCTTGTGAATCTAAAACAGATCAAAATTATTGGTTGTCCAAGTTTGGTCTCCTTCCCAGAAGAAGGTTTTCCCACCTCTTGTCTGACAGAACTTTGCATCATGAGCTGTGAGAAACTAGAGGCCCTACCAAACTGCATGCATGATCTCAAATCCCTCAAAGAACTGGAGATAGGATACTGTCCTAGCATTCAATATGTTCCTGAAGAAGGCTTTCCAGCCAACTTAACATCCCTTTGGATCAATGACCATAATGCCTGGGAAGCAATGTTCAACTGGGGTTTATACAAGTTCACTTTTCTTAGGGACCTCACCATCATAGGTGTAAGTATGCATATGCCACTTGAGGAACTGGGGACAATGTTACCATCCTCTTTGACCAGCCTCACTATTCAAGGATTTCCACAGTTAAAGTACATGTCTTCAAAGGGCTTTCATAATCTTACTTCCTTATCTAGCCTTGCCCTTAGAGATCTTGTAAATCTAACATCCCTACCATCCTTGGGGTTTGATTACCTTACCTCTCTTGAAGAACTTTCTATTTATAACTGTCCCAAGATTTTCTGTTTACCCAAAAAGGGCCTTCCTTCCTCACTTTTGGAACTCTATATTCAAGACTGTCCTCTGCTTAAACAACAGTGCATGAAAGATAAAGGGAATGACTGGTCGAAGATAGTTGACATCCCTTATGTTGAGATTGATGGCAAATTTATCTATGACTCGGATGACGAGTATTGAATTTTGACTAATTTCATCATAAGGTAGAAGATAAATTTATCACTACTTATTAACTATATCATTGGCTATGATGTTTTTTATAACATGATTTCACTTTCTTCATACTCCTCTCTTTCAATCTCAGATTTACCAGATAGAAGTATCTATGTCAGACTAATGAGTCAAGTCTTATTACAGACGATGGTCAATGATATGATTGAGGATGGCTACATGAACAACGAATCATCCTTCCAGGTATGGAATTTTGAAATTTTTCTTAAATTTAAATTAAATTACAGCAGCCAAAATAATAGACCATGCCTTTTTGCATACAATATCAAGGAAATCATGGTAATGTGTGGTCGAAATTCTGATATCTTTCAGGGAGTCTTGTGTATTAATCTTCTCATTTCAAAGAAAGCAACAAATAGTTTCAAAGTAGAATCTCTCTAAAATTAGAACCTAACTAGGTAACATTTATAGCTCAGACAAAAATTCCTGACTTGTGAAATTTGTTGCATCTGCTTTTCCAGAAAAGAAATATTCTGCTTGGCAATCATTTTTGAGCAAGGACAGAGAAGAACAATCAAAAATGCTGCAACCGTGTGACTATGGAAAGGATCGTGTGCGCATGTGGAGTTTTGGTGGTCCAAAAATCCTAGCCACTCGTTATAACAGAGCTCATTTTTTGGTGAAGCTTCTGTTTTAGGACATAAGTTTGTATTCAGATAATTTTGATTTCATTGCTTTGTTTCTATTTGCATGCTCATAACTCAATGGTTATAAGCTAAATCTTAAGGTTGGGTTGAAAAAGTACCCGAATCTCAAGTTGTTAATGGGATATTTGATTTTCTGTTTTAATTTTATATTCAGGTTGTTCAATGATATTTTAATGTTAATGTAGAGTTTGGGAAACATTGGTAGCTTAGAGGAGTTTAGAGAATTGAGCACATGGAGTTTAGAGAAATCACTCATATAATTCTGATTTCTCTCACTTCAGAAGAAACGAAGGAGAATCACCATGTAACTAATGAACCAGTCATATATTATCTCAGGTTTCAACTTTCACAGAAATGTGCAAAGTGTTAAGAATATTGGTAGAAAATATTGAGAAATCAAAAAGTATCAACTATGTTTTCCTTTTTGAAATTAATCTAATCGGTTTATCATTTCGCGATTAGTTCGATTCAGGACATGTTCGGGATTAAGGCTTTAAACTCCTCCCAAAAGATATGAGTTTTAATTTCCCTTCCCCTCAAGTGTTGTTAGGATGTTTGAATCCAAGAAGTTGCTTCTTCAATAACTCCATTTTAAGGAAAAGAGCATTTGAAACTCAATGCGTGTAGCTCAGTAAGTTCGATTCCCACCAAATAGGGCGAAATTTTTTAGCTGTAATTAAGCTCTAACTCAGAATTAATTATATAATCGAATTAAAGAGTCGAAATTTATGTGATTACCAGAGGTTCAAGTAGTTAAGGTCGGTATTATTTCAAGAAATAATCGAAGTCGGTATGAAAAAACATTTGAATACTTTTAGGGTTCAAGTAGTATCCCAAAATTGGCTTTTGGTAAAATAGACGGACTGAATTAAAATGTTGGGATTGAAAATAAACCATAAAGACTCGTGTTATGGACCACTTATGTGGTACCCACTTTCTATCCCCACTACATGGAGCATCTCATTCCATCACTCTCCCATAACTGCCCTCCACTACCAATAACCACCCACTAACATTGCATCATGCCATGAAGTCACCTGCAAACTACCCACTAGGAGCAGAATCTCCTAGTGCATTCATCTATATATAATCCCTTATAGCTAACAAAGGAGATCATCTCATAACTCATCTAAGAACTCATCTGATAACCAACCTACATACTTGTGCTCAGAGCACATCCTATTCACCGCAGGTGACTCACACACACACCACTTGTTCATACCATTGGACTTTGGCCTAAGGTGTAGGACTTCTCATTGCCTATCATCTTTACCATAAGCTTCGTAGATACAAATACTAGCTATCCTGGACCATTAATGTTCATTCCAGAACATTTGGCGCCGTTTGTGGGAATCGGTAAATTTTGATTCCCACTCTATTACCATTTGACGCATCAACGTCCCCGCACTGGACGGGCAACACTCCTGGTCCACCATACAATTGTAGAAGCCAAATGACTTCAAATAGAAAAAGCCGAGTTGTTGGCACTTTATCTCATTTTTTTTTCTACGATCTATGGGTTGACGTCCATGCAAGGATTATAAGCTAAGTATCTTCTTCTTTTCAGCATTTTTATCTCACAACTCCAACTTCGCATGTTTTTCATATTTCACCCTTGTTTTTGGTTCTCTTTCTTCAATATGTGATAAGATGCTACTTATTAAATCAAATACTGCACTTAAAAGGAGATAGTATTTTATTCTTTAAAAAAAAAAAAAGACAAATATTTTTCGAAATAATTTTGTCACGAAAAATTATAAGCGGAAGTCATTCTCTCTTTCTCATTTTTTTCCCTTGACCTTATGTGCACTGTTCACGTCTAAAGTAAAAAAAAAAAAAATGAAGTGCAGATACAGTTATTTTTGTAAAATGATGCAGTTACTTTATATTATAGTATCTCCACTAAATACAGTTATTAGCAATTATCCCACTAAGTGCAATAAGCACTCTTTTGATCTTGATCTTCATTTATTTGTTTTTAATTCACATCACTGAAGGCAGGGGTTAATGTACTTCTTTTTTATCTCACTAACTTTTGTTTTCTAAGGATGGATGTTTTTAGACAAGTCATCAAATATAGATGATGTGAGATGTAACACCAAGAAAGAAATCTCATTAAAGCTACAACAACAACAAACGCCGACCAGAACTAAACATTGAGCACAGAAGAATCAACCAAGACAAGACAACGTGAACCGGCCAGAAAAAAACACAATATAAGCTAAGTTCCCCCCCCCCCCCCCCCCCCCTAACTCAATCATAAAACATAATCTTATTTTAAAGGGCAACGATGAAGATAAGGATAGTTATTTAAAGTCAGAGTATTTTGTTTTTTGTTTTATTTTATTTTATTATTATTATCATTTTTTTCTCATATTATTTTTTTCTCTGAATATTTCTCGGTAAATATAGTATGAGTTGTGTACATGCTACCCCACTATGATGTTTTTTCAAGTTTATATCTTAAAGATTATTAATTGTGAACGTGATCAAGATATTTTCTGATTTCTAGGGGGCTTTCCAATGGATGAGTTAATTTTCCTAAATAAAAAAAAGGAAGTACAACTTTAGGGAAATATAAACTAAAGAGGAGATCTGGTTAATTACAAAAATCAGAGTACACAAAATTTCTTAAACTTATTAAAAATATAAATTTCCTGATAGACCTTGCTGTCTTTAAAAATTCGTATAAAATCCAGTTCAATGATTCAAAAATATATTCTTTCTAATCTGGAAACTAGACATCTGGGGCTTCACGTTCATATAAAATAATAGTGATTTGGAGTTCGTTTTCCCCTCGAAACATAACTCGTAAAATAAGAGATAAAATAGTGGAAATATCCCAAATGTCCTGGCTGGTAAAATTCATAATAAATCTATCTTTCAGAATTTCTTTGCAAGGTTTATATATAATGAAACTAGACACCTGGGGCTACGCGTGCATATAAATTATAAGAAAATCGGAGGTCCGTAGCCCCAGTACGACAACTTACAAAGTGCTCGCAAAGACTTTTCAAAACTCAGCATTTAGATAACATGTCAAAATCCTTTTCGCAAACGTTTCAACATCTGTTTCCAAAATACTTGCTGGTCATAAAATCGTAATGCAATAATAAAATCATAGTTCACAGTAATAAAAGCTTCTCAATTTCATACAGTCATCCATAAAATATCACATCAATAGCAGCATGCCCAAAACAGTAGAAGCCAACAGCAAATATCCAAGTCCTCAAAAGCTTTTACGTCCTCCTGCCATTTTGTAAAAATAGCAGCCCCAAAGGGGTGAGAGAAAATCCCAGTAGTGTGGCAACAAAACCATAATGCAACAATATTAACTAGGCACAAAATCATAAATAGTCACTTCAAACATTTAATCCTTTTCATCATATATCATAACGCGTATATAACGCCCTTTTTCCTTTACGCTCATAGCACCGTCGTGCGCGTAGCATCACAGTGGGTATTCCTAATGGCTCCCATGAAGGTGAATCCCACTGTGGAACCTATGCGGACTGAAGCCAAGTGTCCCCTCTCCTGGTACCAGGCATGCCTATATGATGCATGCTCAGTCACATGTCCTCAATACAAATATATATATATTCAAGATGTCATGAATCACGTATACATGCCATGTTATGCAATCGCACCCCACAAGAAAAATGTATTATGATGTAAAATGCATGCATATATCATATCATCCTTTCATATTCTTACCATTGGCTCATCATCATCATAACATACATAGAACAAATGTGAGCAACACATCACAATTCCATACACTAGCCAATAGTCACATTAGGTAATACCGCCTACACATACCTTGGTGCTTTTAAGTACTAACCAAACAGCAGTGTATAGGCCCAACGTTTCAAGAATATTGCGCACCTAAACATAAGTATACAAGTCAGAATCCTATTCTAAGGGAACTTCCAAACACTTCACACATTTATGTTTCTTTTATCATTAATTTCCCACACTGTTTTACCTTATTTCTTTCCCTACCATATTCTGACTTCCTAATATATTTTTTCCAACGTAATACATCCCAAAACAGAATCGGTTTTGAACTTTTCTTAAGAGAAACGTTTTCTGCCTTCATATAAATTTGTCATTAAATTTATACAGCACTATATTCCATAATTTTCCTAAGTTCCACATGCATACTATACGGTTTTCTCCATGCTTTAATTCCTACAACATTCTGATTTCTCCTAATACCATTCCCATTATGGTGCGCTAAAACTAAGCATGCTGTCCATAATTTTTACAGCGAAACAGTGGACAGTGGATCATCAAACAGCA